ACTGTCATTTCACGAATCGCCTCGGGTATCCACTACCATGCAATTGGTTCATTGCTTCTATCCGGGCAGCCTTCCTATATTCTTCCTCTGTCCACAGGGTCTGGGCTCTGTGAAACAGCGATGACAAGGTTATGTGCTCAGTGGACGTCTAGTCGTTATTTACTAATGTCCCTTTGCTAGAGAGAGTTGATTACCTTTGCCACCTGATAGAAGAGGCAAATTTCCGTCTACCAATACCGGCTGACATCCTGAGACAGTCCCTGTTGCTTTGCACTGAAAATGTCGCTTTTCGATTCCAGCATACCTCATATCGCGAAATTGATGGAGTGGCTATGGGTAGTCCCTTGGTCCCGGTACTGGCTGATTTTTTAATGCTGATGCTTGCGAGGAAACTATGGAGAGATATCTCAGCTTCCGTATTACAAACGATATATATATATATATATATATATATATATATATATATATATATATATAGATGATACCCTTGTTTTCGGTTCCACGAAGATGCAAATCAAACAATTAGTAGACCAAATTAATAATGTTCACGCCAACCTGAAGGTGAATTTTGAATTCTAATCGAATGGGCGTCTTCCGTATCTCGACGTTCTCATGAGTCGCAGGGATAATGGGCTGATTAAGCGATCTGTATACTGGAAGCCAACGTGGTCCGGCCAATACCTACACTTCACTAGCTTCTCACCGATGGCACACAAGCGCGCGCTGGCAAAAACATTATTCACTCGGGCCAGACGTATCTGCTTCAACAGCTGTCTGCCTGAGGAGTTTAAGCTGATCACTAAAACGCTTATGGAGAATGACTACCCAAAGCGAATCATAGACAAACATAGCCAGGTTAGACCGCCCAAAGAAATGGTGTTGACAGCTCCAGAGAAAAAGGTGTACATTGAGCTACCATTCAAGGGTGACACCGCGGCAAGAAGAACAACTAAACGCATTGTCTCGGCCAATCAGCATACGTACTGTGCTGCGGAGGCGGTATTTAACAACAGAACCTGAAAGTTTTCGTTACCTTCAGTAAAGGAAGAGGAACCAGTCGGCACCAACTCACATTGTGTTTACCAATTCGTGTGTGACTGCGCCTTCAGTTACATCGGCAGAACCGAACGGGCTTTAGATTCCAGAGTGAAGGAGCACTTACCAAACTGGGTTCAGCGCGAACCTACTCAATACACCTCCGACGATATGTGCACGCGTAAGCCGCCAGCGTCTTCCCTAGGCAGGCACATCTTGCCGAATCGTCACCGGATTACTCCCTTATCGGCGTTCCGGATCTTGTTGCGTCACCCTAATTCACACCTTTTGCGATTTGCCGAGGCCGTCGCGATAAGCGGAGTTAGACCAGCCTTGTGTGTTCGAAAGCCATTAGTTGTCAACGTGCGGTTGCCGTGGTCTTAATCTCAACAACCATGACCACAACCGTAAACTTGATTGGCTTGACTGTGCCCTATAAGACATATAAAAGGATTTTCCTGTTATTGTATTGGAACTGACGAGATAATACGAAATGCTAGCATCTGTCAATATTCGTCTTCTCATTTCCTTGTTCAAACAGAGATGAGGCGATTGCATCATACACATGCTTTGGGTGACGTGAACCATAGTGTACTACATTATCTGTCTTCATCGTCTTACGATATATTGTTGTTTTAAGACTACCCCCATTCTTGTGAACTAAGCAGTCAAAGAATGGCAATGTTCCACTGCAACCTTCCAATTCCATAGTGAACTTTGTAGTCTCTGTAATAGTGTTAAAACGGTGTAGGAACTCGTCCTTCTTATCCCGTTTTATTATAACGATGGTGACAACCACGTAGCGCCACCAAATTTTTGGTGGGCTACAAGGGTCAGTCAGCGTCCCCCTTTCAAAGACTTCCATGTGCAAATTTGCCAACACAGGGGATGTTGGCGATCGTATGGCAAGCCTCTGTTCTTGAGTGTACAATCTAGATTGGAACGTGAATTAAGTCATGTTAGGTATGATGTCATTCCTTCTGTTATTTGATCTACCGTAAGCTTTGTCCTCTCTCCTAGGTTACTGTTCCCAGTTGGACTATGGTTCACTATTTCCAGAACGTCGCATATTGGCACGCTAGTAAAAAGCGAACTAACGTCAAAACTGATCGTCACTTTATCCGACTCAAGCTGAATACCCGACATCTTTCGCGCAAAATCATGAGTTCTTTACGAATGCATTCGTTCGCCCTGTCAACGGTTGCAATACGCAAGCCAAATATCTATCTAGTTCATGCGTCGGAGAACCTATGCTATTTACAATAGGTCGAATGGGTACATCGGGCTTATGTATATTCGGTAAGCCATGCACTCTTGGTGGAAGGGTTAATTTCGGGTATACGTTATACCGTTTTCCCTGATGCTCCCTGATGCTCCTTCAAGTTCCTTAATTAAGTATCAAACTCTGTCTTATTCATCACTGACGTGATGGACTTATTGTCGATAACCTTATATGGTCCCGTCACTAGGTGCGTCTTCATTTTTTCCAAATAATCTGATTTGTTCATTGTCACGGTGTTTTTGCTTTTATACGCTTTTTTGATAACAATGTTCGGATCTTCTTTTAGGGCAGTTAATGTGACACGTTCCTCTGGCGCAAGATTCGGCTCCCTCGGCTGGTGAAAGTTTATAATGTTTACAAGCTCTGTATAAACACCCTCAGCTATTGAAGCGGATAACTTCGTCAAAGCGGACTCAACACTAGGAATGACTTCTTCAGTTCTTATGTTGGATTCATTGATGGCAAATGTCAAAAACTTCCAGTAGTCTACGCTCTGTCTCAACATTCCATCTGAAGTATTAACTACGTTACAACATCTGCTGCTAGTTGGACCGTTCGCGTTGCTACGTATGTACATCAAATTATCGAACGTACGGACTTGTCTTTCTTCTGAGGTCCTTCCTTGTGTTGATTTAATATCCGAGGCTTTGTTGTAAAGCCTGTCATAGTCTGCCTGCGTTACGATAGTCTGCATCTCCAAGCTCGGTCGACTTGCGTGAAGGCGGACTTCACCCAAGCGTCGAGTAGTCAGATAAACACGTTGTTTCAAGAATGCTTTACTTGCGTTGAAAGCAGAGAATGGATGTTTGGCCCTGTAACGCGGATCACTTGTGACCGTTCCATCCACTCTTGGAGTGACGCTTTCACCTGTAGTACGATTGACCTTCTACCTACATCCCATTCGTCGCGATTATCTTTCCAGTTCGTTATAAGTGCTACACCGATTCTCGACTGGTTCACACGGCCTGACGAGGCTTTTGTGTCAAAAGAGAAACCTTGTCCACAAACTATACCAACAGGTTGTTTTTTAAGCCTTTTTGAAATCTGGAAATATTCTTTTAAGTTAAGCATTCCTACACTCCTTCACTTTTTTCTTTATACCGCCCATCTGCGACTGGTGACCATTATCAAAGGGAACTATTCCAGTGCCCTCTCCAATCGTCGGACACGTGATATGCCTTGCGTTTGCGGCGGTTACACGATAGTTATATCCGGTTTGCCTTATTGTCATATGCAGAGTAGTACAGGTTAGGGCTGATTTGAGTTCATCGGTTGCTTCTCTCTTTCGTCATCCCATCCACCGTACAATACAGCTGGTTCATTGCATCATGAGATAGAGTGTTTCACTCTATTGGAGTGCGGCTGCGCATGCGCGTCCGATGAACACCTTCTAACACCAGCCACGGAACGCCTAAGAGGCCACTGTAATTGCGGTGGACATCATTCACGGACTGACTGCCATCAAATATGCCTGAAGCTAATCACGCTAATTACTTTTACGTGAGTGCGCTACCGCCCCCTACTTGCTAACGTTAATATCCCGTCGGGGAAATGTGCATTCAAGCGTACATAACCATTATTCGCTCGTGCTGACTGCGTATGGGACTTCTTTTAATCAGAAGCATGACATTATCAGTGTGTAAGACAATCTGTGCATTAGTCACTACACCTAATCTTATCTCAACTTCTGAAGGTAGCTCACTTCAGGCGGGCAAACTACCTTCGTTATGGGAATTTCTTCATGTGCCGAGTTCCTCTTCTTACCCTCAGTGGATTTTTGTGCGCGTTTAAAAAAAATTTATTCATGTTCTATATCTTCAGATGTCCACTTCGTGTTCTGCTGTTGATGCGAACAGATGACATGCAACCAGTTGTCTGTGATCCTAGCTGCACCGGTAGCTAGGTGATGGGGTCTTTGGAATACATTGACTAGCTACCACATGGCTCTTAATGTGGCATCTACGGTTGTCAACTAGAGAGCAATTGTGACTGAGGCCGTATCACATTGTTGGGAAACCAACTCAGTGTTCCGCACATCGGACCGTCATCTTCCGCAGTCCTGGGCGAACTTACAAGCTGTCCGTGTTGTGCATTTGCATAAGGCAGACGCACCACTGCATTCACTGTCCCAGAATTATACCATCAAGTGTTCTACGGAACAGTCTAGCGAATAATTCGTGTAATAAAACTCGCGGAATCCTGGTTAGTATCCTGGGATAAGACCACTTTTCCGGTCACTTTTACTATGCCACTTTCAGTTAGGACATGTACCGACTACAAATGCGGCTATCGGCTAAGTGCAATTTTTTTAACCTTTATATTTGAACATATTTTGCTGTTTGTAGCTTTTTGAGCCAGACTCCACCAGAACATCAAAGGCCTATCTATGTGTTCCTTTGGCCCACATTTATTCCTCATGTATTTTATTTATGACCCCGTCGGGTGCATGCCTTGACCGGCATTATTTTTTGGCCAATTCTCCCATGTTTGCTCAGGTGATCAGATTAGTTGCTTCGCTCGATATGTATTACTTTGTCTTAATATCGTACCATTGTGTTGCCACCTTTTTGTGAAGCTGCCACAGCGTTTGCCAGCTCAATCTCATTTTACGTCCTGCAGGTAGTTGTTTTAATGTTGCTAAACAAACTTTTTATACCCTGTGTATCTTTGTTATGAAACTAACCATTTTCGATTGCGTGACCCAGATCCACTTCATTGGGCGTTAGCGATCTGTGCTCGACATCCCCTGACTTGACCACACTGATTCCTCGTCCTTTCTTCTGGGATCTAGACCGATGCCAAGCAAAGTAAAACAGTGCGACAAAAGCGATGGAAGCGATGAGGCTCGATATGAGGACACCGACGATGACATATCCGTAGAACACAGCCTTCCCTTGTCTTCCGGACCAGCGAAGGTAACCAGCAATTGAAAAATTATCTTGTATGACCGGTGCATCTGTGATTTTCACGCATACATCTATTGGTGTCCTCCTCCTTTCCACCGGACCCATATCACTCGCTATCACGGTTAGCTTAACCGTGAGTCCGATTAGTGCATCTGGCAGCTCTTTGTCTAGGACAACGTCCCCCGTATTATCGTCCACCTTGAAATATTCGTGCAGGTTTACCCGTAGATTCTCCGTTGAGATTGTACGCCATGTCCATCTCTTCTGACAGGTTTTAATTGAGGCGTCCGCCCTTTTCACATCATACAGCTCCAGTTGTTCTAGTGAATATTCCACTGTTCCATTCGGTCCTTCGTCCATGTCAGTTGCTAAGACCTGTAAATGATAAACCAAGCATTTATCATTCCGTCGAAGGGCGTCTTTTGTTTCCACCAGAAGTTAAAAGGTGATGCTTTGAATCTCCATATGGCATTTGGGTGACTGTAACTTGAGGCCGCTCACAGTGCTATGCAGTTACACATTGTATTGCTCCCAACTTAATACACACTGGTCCAGACCAGTGCAACTATCTTAATTTAATACCGGATTGCTAAAATACTCCCAAAGTTTCCCATGATTTGCGGTATGCGTTTTGTACCATGTGCTTCTTTACACGATTATTTGGTGAGACAATCCACTGCTACTCGCCGCGTTTAATCATTTAACCCTTTTCTGCTATATTTACTTCGTTTGCCGAGCGTCATACTTTTTCCAGGATTGATTTAGCCAAGTGCGAGAAAACGGCAGGTACCGCGGGTGCTTTCACTTTGTTTTGTTTTGATGGCAAGGACAAAAATCATTTATTGCATACAGTTCTCTTCTACGTTTAACCAAACTAATATGCAATTGGTTGTTGTCTAGAACTACATCGTATTGACATCATGGCTTCCACCTCTTCGGGATTGACATTTGGTTCCTTGGTTTTTGTCACCAATTATCTTTTCTGGTGACCCACTTCATGCTCATCGATAACATGTTTACTCTTTGTCCAGTCTTAAAGTAGAGACGCACTTACAGACGACGGACTATGGTGGCCTTTTTGGCCCCAAAGCTGCCTTCTATTCTGTTGATTCGGCAAGCTTGTAGCACGGCTTATCGTGACTCCCGGAGCCCGATAAGGGTCCAATGGAAGAGATCTCCTGAGCTCCCCACGACAACTGGGCTTCACCAGGTTTGTCTTGTCTTTTTCTTAGCTTTGTGTCTGTAATGATCATAAGCGACTCCGTGGCTAGTGTTACCGGATTGACTAGCGAATTGGCTAGTTCGCACTGAAGACATCCTCTTTGAACACCGGTGCTCACAGAGTATTGCTTACGGCTAGTGCGAATACCGGGTGAGCAGTGCTGATGTTCACCAGTTGGTTTTTGGTAAGAAACCCTCTAGTGCTTTAGTCGAACGTTTGCTTAAGCTCAACCACTATCGTTGGCTAGGCTATGTCCTCCCTAAGCCAGTTGACCGGCCTCCTCTGCGTGCACTATACGCCATCGCTACATCAAGTTGGAAGAAGCCGCGAGTTGGTCAGTCGATGTTATGGCATAAAGATGTTAAGAAATTGACCAGAAGACGTGATCATGCTATTGCGTTCCTTGTTCATGAGTGAGGTCATCGTGTTGGTCCGCATCAGTGATTAGAAACTCTGCAGGATATGGTGCAGTCGCGAAGTCAGTGGCGTTCCTACATTCGGTTTCTTTCACACAGCTATTAATGTTCATTCCATTCCGATTAGGGGTACAAACTACATTAGCTTCTTTATCTATGTATTCTGTTTGCGCTCAACTTCCTTTTCTTGCAGGTGTTATTCATTGTTGTTCTGGCGATGTGACTCGTTGTAACCGGATCCACCGCACCTGGGTGTTTGGATCATAGTTGGTTAATAACAACGGAACTAGTATACTTCATGCTCATCCTTTGGGCACCACGCCAGCTCGGTGGGATTGCTAAAACCCTCTTATTTCCGCTAACGTCATTCTTAGTTCTTTTTCCCACCCCTGTGGACATTCACCGCAGGCGACTCTGTTCTAATGAACCGGTCCTGCTGTTCCGTGTGTTGATTTACCATGAACTGCCTGGTCCTGTGTGCGTGTGCCTGCATTCTATTTCACCTTTCAATTGCGGCTGTTTTAGAGATTTTTAACCGTACCGGAGTTTAGACGGGTTACTAGAGTGTAGTGGTTTATGGTAGTTTGGGTTTCATACGCTACGTTTCCATTCGATGAGCTACTCTCATACAAGGACCCCTGGAGTTGTTGTAACAGGTGGATGAATGTGCTCATTGTTCATTCTAAACTGACAGCAAATTGGCACTTGTTGACTAGCCATTGACAATACGCACTAAATATAAGTTAGTGCGGCTTGCCTCCACATCGTACCGACGCTTCACACTCTCACGTGACCACCTAGTAGGTCGCACGTACCCCCACGCTGAATCGAACTGGCACCGTGTGGACTGCAGGCCAAGCACCTGAAACACTCAGCCACATGCAGAGTTGTCGTCATAGTGTTTCTCATCGAAACTTTACAGTGGCCCAGCTGTGGCTGTTTTCTCATTTGCGGCATTTCTCTCTTACATCTAACATGTAGAATGTTATTCCCGAGTGCTTTATTGAATCGGAAATGTTATGCGGTCTAAAACGGCACCGCGAACACTTTTGTTTTGGAACCGGAATTGTGCTATGTTCTCTCATATTTCATTCTGTTTTCCTTTTTCCCGAGAGATCACTCGGGTTGTAGGAGCCCTATTTTGCGACAACTGTGCGGTACTTTCACAATTGGGCCCTCAGTCCCAGTCGCAACATGTAAACCAGGAGGAATTATAGCCCTTTAAAAATGTGTGGTGTGGGGGGACGAACTGATCGGGCTGATCATTAGACTCCTTCTATTTCGTTCAAATTTCTTGCATCCTATCGAAGTATTCAAATTTGAAACGCATAAGAATGCGGAACTGATACCCCCATATGTGTTCCTTTCTTTCCGATCCTTAATTTTTGGCGATGCATAGCTTATAGCACACACACATTATGGTCGTTATCACTGTTATTAATCAAGGTCTGGCTATTGGTTTGACTCAATTACGCCTAATGTTGTACCTTCCTTCTCATGGGAGATGGTGGAGCATATCTCCATTCACTCGCCATCGCGTAAAGATAGACATTAACAAAGAGCTAACGGTCTTCATTTTTATTTCCCTACCAATACACCACCACAACACGAAAAATTTTGCCGGATATCGTGACTGTTTCCCTACTAGGTAACTATTTGTCTCTTCCCCACGTCATCACATGGTAGATGTAGCGATGTCATATTTGAAACATTTCACGATATTTAATTCCTTTGTATCACTTGTGGAGATTGGGCTCTACAGGCAACAGTGTATCCCTAAAAGATCATCCAATTCGGAAAAACCAGACTCCGGTATCAGGAAAGGTTCTGCTATGGAAATAGCAAAGTTGTGCAGATCCTGTACGTTCTGTCAAATCTTGTGATCTGTCTCACTGACTATCTAACATATTGTTGTGACACATTTTACGCTTAAATAATACGGTTTTCATGTGGACCTCCTTTCGTGTTAAGAATATTGTACAAATGTCAGCTGAATAATTTTGCTTATAATGGAGGCATTAAGACGTTAAATCTCCTTGTCTTGGACTTTAGCAACGCAGCCATCTTTTGCAGATTTCTTCACTGGCTTTTATAAGTCATGGTATCCCTGATTTTCCCTTTCTACCCTTGTATCCTTGCTTTTTTCGGAATTCCCCCATCAACCACCAAGCAATGGGGTTTCAAAATGGATTGCCTCGCCCTCATTCAAATTCATCGTTTGGCTATCGACATCATCCGTGCTCTTCGGGGAAGCACGATGTTTATTAGACTCCGCTTACTACCATTTTGGAAATGATAAATTATATGACCAACTTAGCTGCTAATCAAATGTTTGTCGTTTTTGGCTTAATAAAATGTACCTTTCTAATGTTTGGTCGAATACCCCTGTGTTTACATGGCCCGATGTGCGGCATAGCAACGCCTCAAAGTCCCGCCGTTTATCACAAAAATCTGGTATCGAACATTACCAACACCTATTCTGCTGTCGCTATGTCCACCCATTCTTTGACCCAGATGTTTCACTCACGCTACACATAAGGGTGTACAATGTCGCACTTTTTATGGCGACTCGTCGCCACGGTTGCTGTGGGTGATAGGAGATGAACATGCCCTCATTCACCTGGATCTTTCTGTATTAATTCATCATACCAAATACAAAGCGGACATCGCGAAACTTTTTCACAGGTGTTTCCTCTAACCTTGGGACTGTCACACGCCATTTTCCGTCAACTGACATCACAAAGCATAACTCCATTTCGTGAATAACGACTACTACTCAGGGCATTTCGTTCGTATTTCGTTGTCAAGACAAATTCAGTTAGCACGCGAGGTAAATTGGCATGTCCATCATTGGATGCGGAATTTCGACAGACATATTCGGGTTGGCCTTCCTAGCGGTGCTAGTGGGCGAAGTTGCACTGACCGATGCTCTCGCAAACAAATGGGTCCCTGAATGTCTACCACATTCAGTCTAACAGTAGGATATGAAAGCGTCTTTTTGTCTGCTGCATAATGCGTTCTCGCTTCAACCCCCGGTGCACCTGCTCCAACCACAATTCCAGCAATTCCCAGGGGTATTCAAATGCCTCCGCGCAAAGGTCTTAATATCAGATGTAGAAAAGTGCGCACACTCCTGGATCTAAACACGAATGTGTGGCCTGAGCGACACAGTGCAGTGGTCGTGATGGGACTTGTGCGCTGCAGCATTGACATTAATGCACTCAGTGAGACTCAGCTAGCTGAGCAACGGAAGCTGCATGAGGCCAGTGCTGGTTACTCGTTTTCCTGGGTTGGAAACGCCACCACAGGACCACGGGAACATGGGGCAGATTTGCATTATCCGCTCTGCTAAATGGTCACGCGGTAGTAGATCCGATTGGCATCAATTCACGATTGGTGACTGTTCGTCTTCGGCTTGGAATAGGCAAGTTTACCATGTTTATTAGCACTTACGGTCCCACTAGTTATCCTGATGACATTGAGGGTCCGTTTTACTCCCCTTTGTCTTCTATTATACGCTCTCTGCATTGGTACGGTCGGCTATTCCAACTGGTTGGTTCCAATGCGCGTGTTGGACATGATGCCACTACTGGAAGACATAAACGGACCACATGATATTTGCCTAACCAGTGGGAACGGTGAGCGGCTTGTCCCACTGTGTGCTACTCACGGCCTGTTGATCACGAACACCCGGTTTGCACTGGGTTCGAGTGCTATAGCTACTTGGATACACCCACGGAGGGGTCAGGCTCACATGCTCGTCTATGTCATCGTACGCGAGCATGGCATGCATGAAGTGCTCATCATACGTGTACTGCTTGGAGTTGCTTGTGGCACTGATCACTAGTTAGTACGGACCAAATTGTACATACATTTTCCTACATCCATATATTGTTCCTTATCATCAACCAGCGTAAAGTTAATGCTGGTTCTGTAGCTAATGTTGAGACGACGAGTGAATGAGAGAATGCGAGCACGACCCGGTTTGTCCTCGGATCTCGTCTGTCACGTGGTATTGATGCTTCACTTATGTTTATCAATGTATATGGGTGCCGTTTTCTACCAAGGAGATCAGAGCTGACTGAACGCTGATAAGAGATCGCGTTTTATTCTAGATGAATATTTTGTCGGAATGCTGATTTACGTACTTTAACTGGTCCATCTCACTAATCAGTACGTCATCTCTTTCTTCACTGGACTACTGTTAACCAAATGCTTGTGGCATAGGCAGTTTTCGTTTTCATACCAACGTGCAGCCATGAGGGGAGTTTCGGGTATAATGCATCTAGTCTGCCTCTATTATGGTGCTGCACTTTTCTAGTTTCACTTTGGCTGAAACCATTGCTTGTCCTTAGCTCACCTTGGTTTCATGGTACATTTTGTTAACATTGCGCTCCTCTAGATAGACTTATTAATCTGTGGATACAGAGCAGTTGTTTGTCCTTTATAATCCCATCACAAACAATGAATCCGTATCAATGCCCTTTTCATGCTAATATTAACTTACTCTCAGAACCTCGGATCCTGGTTTTCCGTAGCAAGAATAGGTCAGGTATCGCTGTTCTGGCCCTGGGAAGATAAATATTGGCGACTCATCGTTTACATCTGTGATATTTATACTGAGAGGAATCGAGGCCACTAGCCTTGGCGATCCATTATCTTCCGCGATCATCTTCATAGTATACATAGCAATTCGTTCGGTTTCGTATGGTTGGCGAGGATTGATGCCTTCTTTCAGAAATTGCTTCCCAGGAGTGACGGGATACTCATCAATCATGGATTCACGATCGAGCTGGGTATTTGTTAGCACCATGACAGAGTAACAGTTCGGCTTCGTAGACTTTTCATATCTCAGACGAAAAGGTTCCTCTGCAGTGTCGCTCACGAGTTCATACCGGTCGTGTAAGATAGCGGACCCATTGGATTCCATCGAATAAATCAAGTAGAACTTCAATGCTGCATTCGGTCCAATGTCATTATCACAGGCAACAACAGTTCCAACCAAATGTCCGATAGGTACATCTTCGGCGATAGAGAAATCGTACTTTGACTCTTGAAACTCTGGAGCGTTATCATTGTAATCTGTCAGATCTATCAGTATCGTTATCGTGCCAGATTTTGGAGGAATACCATTGTCCGACGCGACTACTGTAAAATTAAACCCCAATTTCTTCTCACGGTCTAACAAGCCTGTTGTGTGAACAATGCCGGTATTTGCATCCACGTGGAATAATTCACTCGTGTCCTCACTCACAAATGTATATGAGACATGCCCATTTTCTCCTATGTCTGCGTCAGTGGCATTTAACTGTATCACATAGTAATTGTTCTCTCGCCTCACCGGATCACTGTCTTCTGACAATGTCAAGTGTATTGACGTTGTGCTGAACCATGGGCTGTTGTCGTTTATGTCATGAATGTGTAGTATGCTCGTTACCGATGACCTTTGTACCGGAACCCCGTTGTCGTCGCATATGACTGCGAATTGTACGTGTTCGTCTGTCTCGCGATCAAACGCATGCAATGTGGACAGCTTGTACATTATTCCATATGACTCTTGCATTACACCTCTTCCGTCACTGGCCTGTGCCGGTCTGTCTTCACTAATGCTAGTCAGCTGAAAGTGCCTCGTGGATTCATCATCCAGGCGACACGTTATTTGGTTGTTGGCTTGAACATCTTCATCCGTCACACTTACAACCGCGACATCGGCTGGCAGTGAGTCCGCATGCTCCGGTATTGCCAATACGTTGCTCCCGTTGACCGAGTAGATTCGGATAACTGGACTATTATCATTAACATCAATTAGTTCAATCCGCAACTCCATCTGATCACGTAGAGCATATTGTTCTGTTATCGGCTCTGCACCCTCCTCTGTGTAGGTCCCCGATCGGTGTGGATCGGGCGCCACCTCGAAATTGTGCACCTCAAGGATAAGCTTGTAATTTGCTTGTTGGGCGTATTTCAAACGCTTGAGAATGAAAACGGAGCCATTTTTCGGATTGACATAAAAAGTAGACAAAATGGCAGCTGCGTTGAAGGGACTTAGCCTGAAACTGAGCAGCCCATACACTGGACCTGCGTCTCTATCCGAGGCTTTTGGTGTATAAATAGGAACTGACCTACTTGCGTTTTCTGGAATGGTAATATGCACCGACTTCTCCATAAATCTTGGTGGGTTATCATTTTCATCTTCAATGTGGATTACTACGTACAGCGTACATGATCTGTTTTTCGCAGCGTCACCTGCGGTCACCACTAGACCTACCTCGTGGCTGACTTCGTAATCCAAAGGCTCATTGATCAATAACTCAATACTGTATGGGGAGTTTACTGCAAACGTTTCCCCGATGATCAGCTCAAACAGGCCTTCCCGCTGGATGATATTCGTCGGCATGTTTATTGACAATATATTTATCGTTGATTTTAAAATACTATTTTCAGCTTTTGCGTCTAAGTCAACTGGCCTGTGTAAGGGCATCTTCACCTTATCCAAGTTCTCCTTAATCTGAATGTGCTGAAGGTTACTCGGTGTAAATGTGCATGCTTGGTCATCAATATCCTCCACCTCCACGTAAATTCTCAGCATGTTCACAATGCGTACACTTGAGTTGGTCACGCGAAGCAGGTTCACTCGAAAACTGAGTTCGCACCGAGTAAAACTGAACAACTCTGTGTCTGTTGCAGTAGACCTTGCAGCATAGGAAGGACCGGGACACACTGTCTCTCTGTCTATTACCTCGGCCACCGATAGTTGACTGGTTACAGGATCGATGCGAAAGTATTTAGATTCTTCTTCATGGAGGCTGCGAAAACGATTTGACGGCTGCATGCGCAGGTCCATCGGCAGCTGTTCAATTATGTGACCGACAATACTGCCTTTTGGCTGCTGTTCAGGTAATTTAAATTTGACAATCAGTATTGCACCGCAAGGAGTATAGTTTGTTCCGGTGAAAAGCATAAGCAGAATTGACGTTTGCCCTAAGTTCATTTGTAATCCATGTATTGTTAGGCCTTTTTCCTGGACACAAGGTGGGATTGCTTAATTGCACCGATTTCTTTGATCCCTTCCTTCGGACTACTTGAGTTTGCCTTCTGAAAAAGAATTCACACAGAAAAGTAAATAGCCACTTCATTTAGCATAGCTAATACATAGTACTTCATCTGTGGAGCATTTATGTAAACGATGCAGTCATACAAAACTAACTCACCAACCCAAAACCATTATCTGCGCTTGGCTCGTTTCGCATGTTTATCATACATCACAGTATTTCAGCTTCTGCACCACAGAAGAGAGGTTCCTGGCTTTCCAATTTTAATTTTTGTCATGATACTTTTTCGAAACTTGATCAGTCTCATTAGCTGATTTTTTCAAATTATTTAGCTGTATGGCAGTTTAAACGTCCCTATCAAACAGCCTGCGCTTCTCGTGGCTGCATTTGGCTGATGTTTGACGCAATCGTTATCCATCACACCATTGTATGAAGACAACTGATTTTCAGCTGAAGAATCTGTGAACACGAGCAGACGCTGCTGTTTATGTGCTTGCTGGTACTACCGATAAAGTCGTCATTTCAAGCTTACTTGCGCGTCACATGCAACTGATACCAGCCGTTCAGTGTGCATATCCACATTTACTATTTGTGATATTCGTTGCTATCAGGGTAGGAAGTCGTTCCGAGCAACCACCGACTGGCTGTTTTGTTCGATCTTCCACTTTGCCTTGCAAACCCAGCCACCGTAATTCCGCAGGCGGTGATGTTTATTAAGTGATCTCTTTTTTCGCGATATCGTAATCCGTAGCATACTAGTTCTTCCACCATTTTGACTTAAACGAGAGTTGGCGACTACTCACATCGATAGTTTTCTTTTAGCTACTCTTGTCATGCATTTTATGATGCAACTCTAATCCTCTGTTTGCTGGACATTCGTTTTTCCCTTACGTTTGCAGACTGTTTCTATATGCATCAACAGTTGGATTCGAAAGGGCTACTTCCCTATGAGCTTTCTTCCTTGACAAAGCTCCCAGCAGACAACGAGCTCATCATTATGTGTCCACAACCTCTACCATTCTAGGTAGTGTTGTACAATGTGCTCCTGTTTCAGTGGTTCCTCAGGCTTATACACCACAAATAAATGACATGAACGCGAACATCAGATAGGGGTACAGGTTCAAAACCTAGATGGTCTGAGTGACCAACCTAGGTGATTCGCACCACGGCGATCTATAGTGTGTGTGTTTGTGTGGCGTTGTCCCCACTATGTGTCCGTATTACAGGGGACCAGGGTAGGGTTAGTGTCTGGACAAATTTCTTGTGTGTCGGCCGGTGACCGAGTGATATGCGTGTCTGGTTTGCAACCATAACGTCACCGGTTCCAATCCGCGTAGGGGCGGACGTCCTCGCGGTATACTCAGGCCACGCGCGACTGCTGGTGGTCTCGTGGCAGCGAAGCGCCATTACGGCGCTTATTATTTTATTACAAAAATGTTGTCCAGGCACCAACCCTACCCTGGTCCTCTGTAATACGGACACATAGTGGGGACAACGCCACACACACACACACACACTGTTGATCGCCGTGGTGCAAATCACCTAGCTTGGTCACTCAGACCATCTTTGTTTTGCACCTGTACCTTTATCTGATGTTTATATTCATGTCATTCATTTGTGGTGTATTAGCCTGATGAGAAACCACAGAAAACGAGCTTGTTCACCAACATTTGTTCTGATGTTTACTCCCGGGATATTTTGTCGGTTGTTTCCTTTTGCATCTTTGTTTGTCTTTGTTTTGTTGTTTGTTGATCTTAACCGGTGTTATGGACGTTCATAGTTGTCCTGATTCTACTTTCCTACATAAAGCATGAATTCGTGATCACACGTGATTTCATTTGGCATGGGCGCTGAACGTTGATGTGGGTCACAATATACATTCAATGCTACTTAACTTGGTCTTTTATCTATGCCAATGCTGGATGTCCCCAAAACAGTGTCCGCGGTCTTGCTCGATGTAAATCACCATTGGTACGTCTCACTACCTTTGTATAGTCACGTCAAACTATCTATCTAGAACTAGTTTGCGTTCTCAACCACGACAAATAAGTAGACGCACTTAGGCTGGCTCTTATTTTGTCGTCAGCCCCAAATTCTTCAGTAAAAATCGCTGCTTTACTAATCAGAGTTGCGACCGCTGCGGGTGGCTTATCTTCAGTACACAGTACACCCAACATTTCTCTCGCTTGGGATCAGATGGTTAACGGTATACTAATGTTTTTGCTTTAGAGCGGCGATCATTTCAGGGTACTCACGTGAATCGTATACATTTGTCCGTCTTACTCATAGATTGTTGATTTCCATTGGGTCATGCACTTATGCGATTGTTATTCGTGAGTTTTGGAGTTTCTAGACCAGTAATTATTCTGTTCATTAAGATCTAATTTGTTTCACCAAAGTTATCAAAAGCTAACTTTACTCGTTCGAGTAAAGTGCTTTGAACCTTCCACCTTCGCATTTCGACAGTTAAAGCACGAAGCTATTGCAAGGTTTAGCACACGCGGGATTGCACACGCTTGACGTGCGTGCTCTCGGTTCCTTTGGAATAATCCTCTCTATCTTCTCTCTGTCTTCTTCCAGCGTAGTCAGCGCACGCTCATTCGAACCGGATTTATCAGTGCTACACAGTGATCTATCATACGTGGAGTTCTGTTATACCACTAAAGTTTTAACCATCATTAACCGATTTGATTGTCATCCACGATTGAACACAAAGGGATAACTCATTCACTTTGTGCCCATTGCTTTTCTGTGTACTACCATTCGGTGCAGAATTATCGAGGCAGTCCGAAAAACCTAAGGTTACTTCAATCCAGCGTATCTCAACGCATCCGCGAAGGAATTTGTGATCACGCGATCTGTTTTCACCACTGTGCAGTTTCATTTACTGGGTCCCAAACCAACCGGACCTAACATCGATCGATCAACCGACCAACACTTCGACGTGTGCGTTGAAGTGGGAAAACTGGAGACAGCCCCACTGACTCACGCTTACCTTGACGCGGGAAGCTGAATTGACAAACGCGTGACCTTAACGCAACACACCTACTGTGAATATGTCTCGTATGAAGAGCAAATGCGAATCATGTTTTAAAGTGGTACAAAATGATCTGGTGTGTACTAGTAGTTTGAAATCCTATCACAATGCCTGTCTTGGGACGGGACCGACAAAAACAAAGCGGTGCACTAACAAGGTAGTAGCGCTTTGGTTTTGCCAAGTATGCATTCCTATCCCAGTTGTTATCTATCTAGTTGTGCTACTGAAGAGGCGTCAAAGACTAACGGAAGCGGTCGAACAACTGGTGAGCGCCGGGGTTACGCCCGTGGGAGGAAAGGGACCTGCACTTGTATGAAAAATAACACTCCGAATTCCCTAGTCGGACCGAAGAAGAGAGCCAGGCATCCCACCCTTACCCTATCGACTCAGTCACCAGTGGTACCAACTCCATTCTCTTTCTCCTATAAGTAAAATCATTGCCTGCAGCGCGCCAACCTCAACTTCTGTACAGTGTGTTGTACCTAGTAGTTTGTTCGCTACACAGGAGACCGTAAGCTGCAGTCAACCAGCCATAGTGAACAACCCGCACCATACGCATCGGTTGCCGCGAAGCATACACCGGAAATGGCACCGGTAACGTTTGTGCCCGGACTAGCGAAAACTAAAGTGTCGCAGCACGGATGGCCCCCTTCTGTGCCGTTCACAAATTCACCAAAAACACCGGATACTAAGGCTCCAAATGCAAAACAAGTAGCGACCAGGCGAAACCATGGTGCCCTAAACGTTGTGTGCACAAATGTCCCCGAATCCAAATCCAATACAATTAAGGGTAGGTTGACTGACGATCGAAATCAGTGGGGTTCTATTTGTACCTCGACCGTTGTCCATGCTAATCGCACGACATTAAAAAGGATGTCGCGTCACCCAAACGTGTTGCACTACGGTGAACCTCGGTTACTTTGGGTAACAATAAACTCGGCGGATGAGACAGAGGCCGTTCTGCTGTCTGCGAATCGTCTCCGAAACAACTTAATTTGAGTGCGCATACCACCCGAAATCCAGTGGAAAGAACCTTCAGCCGATCCTGCTGACAGAGAGAGGTACAGACAAAGTCGAAAAGAAAACAATGATTGCTCACGGTCTTCCTGAGCTCACAGATTCCTCTTCCAACGATGATCGGATGCACGACCGCGAACAATGGCACTGTATCTGGGAGGCTCGTTCTCTCGAAAATGTCATGGCCACCTCATTGACAAGGATCTCATATCACTAAACTATTAGGGGTGCGGTCCCAGGCTGTTAAAATTTGTGTTGCAATCAGAACTAACGGCACAAACCCTTCTAGAAAACTGGATTAAATTCCGTAGCAGATTGCCGAAATTCGTCTGAAAGTAGCGGGAACACCAGCACCTTCTAATGACAATTCAGTGGAGGCACAACTCTCAATGAAAACGCCAACTGTAGGACCCGACTCGGGGACGGTTTCAACAGTAGCCATAATGTCCGGAGGGACACAGCAGAGCACGAGCAAACATCGGGATCCGGGGCATCAGATACTTGACTATATACCAAATTCATCTCGAGAGTCTGCAACCCAACCAGAAAACGATTAGTGGGTGACCCTTTATCAGTCGGCGTAAACTCACTTATTTCATCCATCCAATCTAACACATTTTTGGTCTCCGAGAAGCTCCGATGCATGTACACAAATGCCCAAGGTCTACTCGGCAAATTAGCTGAATTAAGACCGACACGCGTCTGCAGCTTGGGACCTCATCGCGCTGCGAGATAACGGATAACGAAACTGTGCTAACAGGCATGTCCGTTGTCCGGAAGAATCGAGCCAACAAAGATGGTGGGGTAGCCCTCTACTTTCGTAACAACCTGTAATGCAAAACCATAAACGATTCGGAAACCGGATGAGAAGGAACGATTGCATGA